AAAAAAAAAAAAAAAAAAAAGTTCAGGAAACTAAAGGCACACATGAATAGCTGACTAAAGGCCAACATTACGGATCTTGCCTGTCTCACAGGTGGCATGAACACAAGAAACTAAGGACCAAGGGCCTGGCCAACCAAGTGCCCACCTACCCCACCCATCCCTGGCAGCTGTGCCCGAGCTGGCTCCCTCAATCCTATCCTTTGACTGGCTTCTGTCCCCAGGCTGTAACAGCTCAAGGCTTCACCATGGACACCAAATCTCAGTGATCCATACCTCCTTCTGCTTATCCAGCCTCTGTCCTTTAACGCATAGTGATGCCTCACCTCACAGTCATTCCCTTGCTCCTCAGATGATTGACCTCAAAACATGCCTTGAGCTTCCTGGGTCTAGGAAGTGCTCCCTCTAGTGCCGCACTGTCAAATACCTCTCCCCTTCCTCAATTTCTCTGATGCAGCCACTCCACTCAGGGTCACTCTGCTGACTTCCCTGCAGGTGATGCTAGCTCTCCTCCCTGTATCCCACTGGGGTGTGCAGACAGGAAAGAGTTGCAGAAATGGTTCCTACTTGCAGACTTTATTTTTTCTGAGACAGCATTTCACTATGTAGTCCAGGCTGGCCTTAAACTTGTGTTTCTCTTGCTTCAGCCTCCCCAGTGCTGGGATTATAGACAAAGTCCATCACCTAGGTACTTTCAGACTTTAGGAAGAGCTGTACTTCCTGCCAGCCAAGTGCTGTGCTAAGTCTTTCTCAGCTCCTCTTTTCAATGTCAGGCCTTCCTGCCCCACAGCGCTGGGGTTCTTCCTTGAGGGAAAGCCTCCTGCTCCAAACCAGGCTACCTCACCCTGTGAGGAGAGGCTGGGCTGTGGCAGAAGCCCCCTCCTTCCTCGCTGACCTTCTTCTACAGCGGTATGGACCCCAAAGGGTACTTAATCTCCAAAAGGATTCTCCAAGATTGTCTTTCTCTTGTTACCCTGAAATTCTCAGCTACCCGTGGCGAAGATGAGCCACTGTGAGGTTTGAACCTGAGAAGGGTTAATCATGGTTTTGTCAGAAGTCTGAATGGTGACAGGTAAGTATCCCTCCAGTCCTAAGACACTTTTCCTACCTCTGCAAGTAGTGGCTGAAAGGTTAGGATGTCAATTTTTTGTTCCACACATTTTTTTAGTCTATCTGGTATCGGATACTGTGGAAGAAAACTTGGTAGTTGTCGTCTTGAGTTCCTTAAAAACATAAATTTACAAGTTAAAAGCAATTCCTAATCATCCAGGCATTTCACATGTATATTTTGAGTATAACCTTATCGGAAATGCTTGGGATCGGAAGCAGTTCAGATTTTTCTCATTTTAGAGTATTTGTACAAATTTTATCAGTGATGCATCCTTAACCTGAAATGCTCCAAAGCCTGAAATTCTTGGAGTATCATGCTGGAAAAGTTTCAGATTTCAGATTTTTGGATTAGTACACTCAACCTCTACTAGACACCCTTCCCTGCTTCAGAAAGACCAGAGTTCTTTCACTCTCTGAAAGCCGGCACAGGAACTTCTGCTAGGACCTCACTCCAGGTTTGGATCCTGTCTCCAATCACGCTCTGGCTGAGCACACTCACATCCATGTAAGAAGTCAGAGCTGCTCCAGTGGTGGTGAGGGGCTGGGCTGGAAAGTCCTTGGGGCCTGTTGGAACCGGGGAGTCTGAAGGCAACTGATTTTAACCTTTTAACGAGCTAAACTCTTACTGTTGTGTTTTTAGTAAGGACACAAGTATCGGGAACTACACATATACATCACTGTGAAAAGCACACTTGGTGAAAGCTGCCTGGCCTGAGTCCTGTCTTCCACTGCTTATTTCCTAGCTCTGATTTTTGTAGGGAAATCCAGCTCCATCCTCAAGTTCCTGCATTCTCCTAGAACAGGCCACTGTCTGAGTCATGGAAACTCTGCTCCTACAGGACAAAGAACTTCACTGCTGCTGTGGGCAAGTCCAAGAGAGCCTCAGAAATCACAGAAAAAGGGGAGAAGAGAGGCTAGACAGGAAGGAGGCAGGCCGGAGAGGTCTGTGCACTGAACGAAGAGGGGAAGCACCAGGCACTTCTTCCCTCATGCTGTCCACCTGTCTCGGCCTGATGTCCTGAGTGAAGGCAGGGAGAGGTGCTTGCAGCCTCCTTTTCAACATTGTCACCTCCTTTTTGGGTTCCTTTAGCTTAACACGCAGTAGTGCAGGACAGAAACATGGCATCAGCCCCAGAGCCACTCCTGATGGCACCAAAAGGCTGATGTCTCTCCTCCCAGACACAGGAGTGCCTTCCACCCTGCGGTTCGTGAACCACACCAGAGCACACACATGAAGCATACTCAGAAAGCAGAGGGCACTTGAAGAGAGAGAGTGAAGTACTGATGACTAAGCAAACTAGACAGGACAATCACAACATTTGGCTCACTGGCCACTCTGACTACATGCTCTGGGCAGCAGACTGCATCTACAAGACACAGCTGTTGACAATGCAGGACGCTGGAAACCTGGCAGAGAGGTGCTGGTAGAGGTCTGCTACGTGAAGTGCTTTTTGAAGAAGGGAGCAAGATGGAGGCTGGAGCTACCTGATGCTGGGGGACCAAGCAGGATATGTAGGCCCTGTCATGGCTCGTAGTCAGTGTCCATCACCACCCATCTGGGCATGCAGAGCCAACCATAACCAGGCACAATGGAAACCAAAATCTTTGTCCCAGAGACACTTGCCTACAGGGCTACACTAGCACCCCAAGGAAATAACTGACCAAGGTTAAAACTCATGATTGTTGGTCTGTGTACTTCACTCTTTTGCTGAGCCAACTGTAAATGCGTGGTGGCTAGTATGTCAATAGATGAGAACCAGAGGTTCTCAGAGTCTCTTGGAATTGGGAGCCAATCATCAAAGACTCTTAGGCCCTGCAGGGCATGGTGAGCTCTTGCTCCTGAGGTTCCATCCCTAGAGCATGCTCCTTGAGGGCATCAGGGACCCTCCATGCTACTTGACTGCCCTGTACCAGGAGAAGTGTGATCTTATACACTCCACCTCATTTTTTCCTCAACTCACATGAGGTAGGGACCATCACTCACAAATGAAATTAAGGTTCTGAGAGGTTAAGAAACTTTCCCAAAGCTTCTTGGTGCCTGATTCAAACAATGGGCTACTCTAAGGATAAACAACTACACAAGACTCTTCTCTGCTAACACTTTCTCTTTGGCCTACAATTTGGCAGATGTCCACCTGCCCTGGGCTATCGTGTGCCTTGAAGTCCTTATTATGCTCCCATATTAGAAGGGTGATACATCTTGCTACCATGGAGTCTGGGCAACACCTAAGCTCAAACTCTCAGCAGAGGCAGTGATGATTCCTCCAGGCCTGCCTTCAGGAGACCGATGAGGAAGGCAGGAGCTGAGGGGAATCCACCCTGTTCTGATGGCTACCCTGAGGCCTCCGCTAGAAAATCAGCCTCACAAGTTCCATGGAAATATACCCCACACCCAAGCATGATAAGAAAAAGGGTCCAGAATGAAGGGAGAGCAGGGAAATGGGGAAAAAAATAAGAACGAAGATACACCATGTAAAGGTACAAGATCCTAGTGGAGAATGTAACTGTACTGTGCACCTAAATGTACTAATAAACTTAATGGAAAAAAAAAAAGAAAAAGAAAAAGGCTCCAACCCCAGTTTCATTCATACCACCTCCAGCCAGGCTGATAGTTGTGACCTGCCAGGGCGTCTCTACTTTTCTCTCACAGATATAGCTGCTGCAGGTCTCTGATGCAGCAAAAGCCACACATTCAATTCACCAAAGGTACCTTTTCTGTGTAGTCACAACTGTTGTTTTGGTGGGTGTTACTGCTTGGGGACGTCTAGGCTTTTTCCAAGAAAACGGTTCACGGACAGCTACCAGTGCCTCCTCGTCACTCACGACAGTCACTTCAAGGTATCGCCCAATGAGGAAATCAGAGAAACACAAAAGAAGGAGCTCCTTGCAGCGGCCAGAGGTTCTAGGTAAACAAAATGAAACTTAGTTTTAGTCATAAGTAAGACAAATTCAACAAAATTTCTCTTTGTACATGACAGGTCCGCCAAGTTGGACCCCTGCCCAAGCAGACCCACTACTGGTATCCAGAGGAGCAGAGATAACAAGAATCCAGCAGACACCCTGCTGCTCCCACCACTGCCCTGTTTATCAGCCATCCCATGGGACTCTAAAATTTTCTACCCTCTTGATCAGTACCCCCTCCCCTACCTAAACTGCCCCATATCAACCATGAGCACCCTCCTCTCAGTGCCAATGGCCTTCTTGCCCCTGGCCCATCTGCACCCAGATGGCAATGAACTCATCGCATGTTGTTTAGACTTTGCCTGCCTCAGTAGTTTCATTCGTGCCTCGGAATGACCTTACAATACATAAACAGAAAGTTACAGAACTATTAAACAAGTGAAGCTTGACTTTTAATAAAATTTTCAAATATAATTTTACTTTCTAAAATGAGCAATGTCATGTTTTCCCAAGACAAAAATCACTTAAAATGTCTTTTTTCCCCCAGTACGGGCGACCAAACACAAGGCCTCTGTGGCACTGAGCTACATCCCCAATCTGTTCTAGTCTTAGTAAGTTGCCCAGGTTGGACTTAAACTTGTGATCCAATACCCCTGACTCCCTACGAACTGGGATTGTAAGTGTGCATCACCATGCCCAGCTCAGTACTTTCAAGTTTAAATCAAATTGTATAACATGACAAAAAATGTGCACTACGTTTTACTTGCTTTCTGCCCATTTCCAGCTGTGGCTCCAACCTGGCCTATGCCGTCTGTGCACACTACACTGCCACACTATACTGCTCTCACTTCCAGCTTCCTCACCCCCTTCTATGTTGTCATAATGATAATACCAAGTAAAGTGGGCCTCATCTGTCACAGCCGACTGACGCACTGCTGTTAAATGACCACCCACAATTTGATATTGATGGGCTTGAAGCAAGGCAGTGATTTAAATACATTTATAACTTTAAGCTGGGTGTGATGGCACACACCGGCAATCCCTGCAATTCAGGAGGTTTAGACAGGAGGATCACCACAAGTTTGGGTTCATAATGAGTTCAAGGCCAGACTGAACTACATATGGTCCTGTGTCAAAAAACCTAAATGAATGAATGAATGATTTACATCTTTAAAAACGTTGAGAATTAGAAACATAGATGAGTGATCAGAGTTAAGGGGGCCCAGGGTCCAATGTCAAACTGACAGGCGACCCAGCAGCCTGGGACTTTTGAGCAGTCTGAACAGTGGTGGGGACACAGGAGGAAGGGTAGGAAAGCAGGACCAGGGATGGGCTTGAAGGCTGGCTGGCTACCAAGGAAGAAAGGAGAGAGCTGCATCCTTCTCTCCTTTAGCCCTTAGCTCATGTGCTGTGCGTTGGTCAGATGCCTGGAGAGGACCAAGATGCACAGAGGCCTTGGGGACACCAAGTTGCAGTACAGAGGAGCCCTAAGATGGCTACATTTGGCAAGATTCAAAAGCAATGGAGAGTGCTCACACCCAAATGAATCATACACACTATTTTCTTTGTAAAGATAGGTCAGTCATCTGCTGAGGATGAAGATGGACCACTGCTTTCACTTGGAATTTGGGGCATGATAAACAGCCATGGTTGCTTTTATAACATTCAACCTAGGAGGACCACAGAGGGGCATAGAAAGGAACATGCATGAGTATCATTCTGAAGCAAGCCCTCCCTGGCCCTTCAGTGTCAGACCTGGCATCACATGTCATCACAATGAAGGTTCTTCCTCCTGGAGGGAGGAGCCCCCCAGGCTTAGGCTCTGTCAGCTGCTTTTTCGATGGAGTGTTTTCTTTTTCTGGACTTTTCCCTTCATAGGCATAGTCACCTGGGAAGGGAAATTTAAATACAAAGTCAGACCAAAAGGTGAATTTTTCCAATAATGCTTGGTGGAAATGAAATGTTCACAAATACAGAAATAATCAGATGCACACAAATCAAACTCAAGATGCAGCTGACAAAACACAAAGAGAATGCAACCAGAAGAGGGCAAAACTACAGATCAGCAAGGACCGGGGCGAGGACTCCCACTCTTGGCACTCTCTCTGGTCCAGGGAACAGTCACCACAGGAAGCATATCAAACAGCCCCAAAACAGAGCAGAAGGGTCCAAAGCTAAAGAGCTCAGGCATAAAGAGCTGGCAGGACACAGGGCCCACTGGCTCTCAGGGTCAAGGCCACCTCAGTCCTGGCCCTTCCTTGGTAATACCTGAGCTACCTACCTGGAGAGTTTTCTGTGTTGTTCACCAATCTGCTCTCCAGTCTCTCTTTGGCTTTGTTTTTTCTGTTGCTATTTAATGAGTTGACATTTCCATTTGAAAAAAGCTGCTTCTTCTCAGGAATGGAACCAAAAGATGCCTCTGGGCAGGCTTGGTCTATGTCTGGTGTCTGAAACCTGAACTGCTGAGTTCTATCCCAGCCAGCCAGTTTGCAGCTTATTAGTTCTTGAGGAATGTCTCCTTTATTCCTGGAAAAAGGGTCACAGAGATACAACTCTCAGAGGTGAGGTGGGTAGTCACTGTGAAACACAGAATTCAATTTCATGAATGGCAGCTGCAAATACCTTTATTAAATTTTTTGTTTTTTGTTTGCTTGCTTTGGTACTGGGGATCGAACCCGGGACTTTGCGCTTGTGAGGCAGGCGGTGGAACTAGTGAGCTAAATACCTGGGTCCCTACCTTTATTAAATTAAGAGAGATTTTGGGGAGAAAATTTTTGAAAAGAATTTTAGAGGAAAAAAAATAAGTAACAAAATACAATTGGTTCTACATCCTTAAACCAGTTTAAACTAATTTAAAACCTTTAAACTTTAAAAATTCTGATGCACACTTACTCTATCCAGATCACCATTGTTTTACTTCCTCCTTCTTTCAGTGTTCCAAAATCTGTCAGCCTTGTAACTTCAATACCACCTTTGTTCTTCAGCAACTGGGTTCCATAGGACTCCTCTGGGGCCTCACCAACAGAAGAGTCTCTGAAGAAGGTACCAGAGAATGGTGTCAGGATGTGGGGAGGCCCCTGCAGCGCCTGTACTCTTTCCTCTCTTGCATCTGCTTCACTGGGGGCAGACTGATGATGATCCAGAGAGACCCCCACTGACCACAGAAGGGATTCCACAAGACCTAGGACTTTCAAAGACAGAAACCACCTCATAGATGTCGTCACAATCCCCCAGAGATTAGAAAGAAGGGGGCAAGGTGGCATATGACCTGTACCACAGGGGTTTCTTTCATCTCTACCACCTCCCAGGCACAAGGGAAGGCACTGGGCCTTGCTCTTCAGGGATTTACTAAATTTGTGTTTGGTAAGTTTTTTGAACTACAGTCATAAGGCTGCATAATGACATTTCCTTCACAATGGACCACATATTCTACAGTGGTCCTATCAGATTAAAATAGAGTTGAGAAACTCCTAACCCTTAGATTTCTCTGTGCCTTCCTTAAGTTTGTTTAGAGATAAAAACACCACCTGTTGCAATTGCCTACAGTTGTACATAGTAATATGTCCCACAGGCCTGTGGCCTGGAAGCAATGCTGTACCACCCAGACCTGTGTGAGCACATTCTATGGTGTTTGCCCAGTAAGTGACATATTTCTCAGAACACTGAGCCACTGTTGAGCACAACCTGACTATACGCGAAACAAATAGAGTTTTGCTATTTAGAAACAGAAGGTTCTACTTTCCCTCAGCAGAGTCACCACTTCCCTCTCTCCACTCTTTCTAGAAGGTCAACCTGGCCTTGCTTGCTTCCCTGTCTGCAGCTTCTTCAAGAAAATCAGGCCTCCAAAATGAACTTCTACATTTCTAGGCCTGCCCACAAACCCAGTGACCCTTCTGTGGCTCAGCCTGCCCCTTCCTTTTTCTCCTCATTGCCTGAGCAGAGAGGTAGTATGCAAGCTGCCCACATCAGCCAAGGAGAGGGACAGTGTGAAAAGGGAAGGGAGGTAGGAATGCCTGCAGGGAAAGCTGTTCATGGTGCTAGGGCTGGGATCTGGGCTGCTATGGCTGGGAATTGGCCAGCTTTGTGCATTACTTGTGCTATCCATCAGACACTAGGAGTCTGCAGCACAGACTACAAGCAATATCAAGCATCCACATACAGAATCTGTGAGCCAATGGGAGAATGGGCAGATGGCAGGCCTTAGCTCTGCAGTCCTTCTGCCATCTATTCTACATTCAAGAAGCCTGAGCAAGGCTGCTGTGGGCAGAGGCAGTTCTCCATGCTTCTTTCCCTGAAGGGCGAGTCAAGGAAGAACAGGTAGGCCTTTTAGGAGGTCATGACACTGATGGATCTGCAGTCAGATCCTAGGTCTATGGATCAGGGCTTCACAGCATTTATAGAGGAACACACAGGAAACTTGGGACCTCAAGGCTTAGAAGAGGGTCCCAGCCATCAAATCAGCCCATCTCAATTCCTGGTACCTTGCAGCCAGGCAGATGGTGCTGAACAATGCTGAGAAGAAGAGCATGGGTAAGGGACACTGGCTCTAAGAGGCCAAAGACAAGTGTCTCCAAGCAGGATGAGGGCACAGGGTCATTTCCAGTCCAGCAACACCTGTAGATACTTCTGGGCCTCCTTCACACGTGTCTGTGCAAGTAGGCACCACACACCTGCCCAACAGGTTGCACAGGGCTGCCTGCCACACCTAGAGACTGAGTCTGGTGCTTGATGCAAGGCAGGAAGGCAGAGAAGTGCTTTCCCTCAACAGAACTGGCATTCTATGGAAGAGAGCAGGCAGTAAGTAGAGTCATGATCTATGAGGAGTGTGCTGGAGGTTATGTGCCAAGGGCAGCAGCATTTGGTTCAGCCCAACAAACAGGGCTGAGATACCACTCAGAGAGCTGGCGAGGAGGGCATCATATTATATACACACAAATAGAACAGCAGACACAGGACATTCAACTGTTGTGAGACCCTACATATGCAACTTTTTTTTTTTTTTTTTTTTTTTTTGATAAAAAAAAACACCCTCAATCTAGATTCGGCCACCTTTGACCACATGGGGCTTTAGGGGGACATCGAGACCATAACACTGGCGGAGCCCGAGTGTTCACCCATCTCCTTTATTTTCTCGGTAACTTGAGCAGGTCTGCTTTGTTCTGTGGGCCTATGTCTTTTACAGTTATTTCTGTAAAGCAAGTAAATAACCCATTTCCGGCGGTTATTGCCTGGGTCACGTTGGCGAGGTGGGAATTTACAGTTCGGTTTGGTTTTGTTGATTTGGTATTTGAGATAGGATCTCACTATGTAGTTCAGACTGCCCTGGAACTCACTATGTAGCCCAGGCTGATCTTGAACTCACAGCAATCCTCCTGCCTCAGCCTCCCAAGTGCTGGGATTACAGGCGTACGCCACCAAGCCCAGTTCCAACATGTTTTTGAAAATGTCAAAATGTAAAAAAATAAAGAATAAGGATACACCTCAAAATGGCCATTGCTGTTATGGCTTCAATAGGGTCTGTCCCTGCTGACAGTCCTGCTGAAGTTCCATCTCCATTATAAGATACCAAGAAGTGGCACAGAGGATTAGGGCTCCACCCTCACGAATGGTTAATCCACTCTCATGATTAAGGCATTAGCAAGTCATCGTCAGTGAGTCTGATCTAAAAGCCAGTGTGGCTAGGGCTCTCCCACTTCTCTCCGTCTCTTGCCATATGATGCCCATACTGCCTAGGGACCCTGCCAGCAAGGAGGCCATCCCCAGATGCAACCGCTGACCTTGGACCAGGGCCATGGGCCAAGTAAACCTCTTTCTTCTGTAACTGTTCCAGGCTATGGTATTGTGTCATCAGCAATAGAAAAAGGACTAAAACAATTGCCACCACAGAAGTAAGGGTTAAAAGAGAGCCCTGAGCTGAGCATGATGATTCACACCTGTAATCCCAACACTCTGGGAGACTAAGGCAGGAGAATTGCAAGTTTGATCCCAGCCCGGGTAACTTAGTAGACAGCAAGACCCTGTCTCAAAATTTTAAAAAGGCTGGGGATGCAGCTTAGTGCAAAGGTCCTAAGTCCAATTCCCAATTCAAAACAAAAACAAAAATTCAGGAACCCATGAATTAGACTTTCCCTCAACCACAGAGACTAAGACTCTCCAGAATGCATGTGTCTCCTAACCTGTAACCTGTCAATCTGGCTTACTAAAGTACTGACATGTACCCTACCAACAGGGATGCTCTCTGAGAAATGCTGTTCCGGGATGTTCGTCCTCAGGAAACACAGCATGCACATAGGCAAACTGAGACGGCTGCGACACCACTCCACGTGAATGACTGTGGAACCAGCACAGTACATGGGCCCACTGAGGACTGAAACACTGTTGAGTAGCGCATCACTCTGACACCTCAAAATACACTTAAATCAGGTTCTCTGCCTCCCAAAGAAGAAATTTTTTGATTATCACCTTCTCACAGGGGTTATGCAAAGTGCCCTCCAGACATAGCACGACTGGCTGCTCTCTACCACCACGGCGTTGACGATGTCATATCTTCGCGGTGCATATCCCTCAGGGAGCTTCAGGGAATCCAGGCTGAAGAAGATGCTGTCCTCTATCACCCCATTCCTCCCACAAAGGCTGGAGATGCAGACCTGCAATTGCAGTACTGAACACTGTTTAAAAGCCATTCCAACAAGGGGCTTTCAACACTCACCGCTCTGAATGTGCCCAGATCAGATTGGCCCAGCAAACTCAGTTGTCATAGTGAGAGACCGTGGCAGTGCAAAGGATGAAAAAGATTACTTGGAGATGAGCCTTAGTTCAATCACAGAGAGGGCCAGAGAGGCTACTCAATCAAGAACACCCAGAGTTAGGGAGATTCCCACAAGTAGCACCAAGCCAAGAACGTTCAGGGCTTTATTTAGAGTATCAGTGTAAGAAGAAAAAAAGGAGGAAGAAGGAAGAAGGGGGGAGGGGGAGGGGAGGAAGAAGAGGAGGAGGAAAAGAAGAAGAGGGAGCTATCTCAAGGATAGGCAGTATTCTTGGGGAAAGGAGGACAATGGCCAGATACAACATGCCTCACTGATCTAAACTTGTTGTTGTTTAATCATTTACTTCTCATAGAGCCTGTATGCTTTTGCTCCACAGTTCAACCATTTACTCCTTGACCAAGTCCCCCACACTCAGGTCCAAAATGACAGGGGCCTGGGAGAGGCCTACAGGGGTCTGGAGCTGAGGCTGACTGACAGGGCTGTGGTGGTGTCTGACATCCCCTTTCTACTTGGTCACAGCTCAGTTCATTGTAATACCTTACCCTGGTGCTAACTCACATGAAAAACTACACCATCTTTGAGGAAGTGTAAATTCCACATTCTCGAGCACGAACAGTTTTTCCTTAAGAGCATCGTAGCATGTGTATGTATATACTGTATCTTAGATCTTAATTATGTGAGGGTATCTTAATTATGGAGTCATCAGGATTTCCCTAGGGAAACAGGCCAGTCCTAAGCTTTATTTATCTAGGCTTCTCAGTGAATACAGAATGCTGGTGGCAAAAACATGCAGAGGGGCTACCGGTCAGCACACTACCTTGTCCACGCGCTTGTACCTCAGCGGCTTCACTGTGATGGCCTCACTGTTCCATGTACCAGGCCGGATCCGGTACTCAGCCTCCACCCAGTCCCCCTTGCATGGCTGGAATCCTGAAATGGCCAGAAAGAAAACCACAAGTGACATCAAATGCACAGTTCACTCTGAGGTTGTGATACACTGAATTCATTCCTACAATCAAACAGTTTTAAAAATATGCTCTACTTTTGTTAGAAACATATTTACTGAACTTAATAACTATTTAGTCAAACTCTGGTTAAATGAAGCCAAAAGTGTTTGAGACCAAGCATGACAAAAGGGAAAAGGGCCCAGAGATAACTGCAGTCAGGCCTGACATCTCAGGACCTCATCTATTCAGAACATACCCCATAATTCTCCATTTAAAAAAAAAAGAATCAATCACTGTAATAAAGTAAGCTGAATTGGAGCCCCTAATATACACGACTAGGCTGTAGTAGGAGCAAGCACACCTGAGAGACAAGCAGCAGGCACCTATCCTCTCCTCCTAAGTCCTTCAGATAAGGGTTTGTACTACATTCTTGTCAGGAGGACACTCAAGTGGCTTGGTGGCAGAGGAGAATGCACTTGGAGCTGAGAGAATTTTAGCTCAGGGGCACAGAACACATGCTGCCTGGCAGGCCCTTGGCCTACAAAGAGCTGGGAAGTGTCCAGGCCCATCCTGAAGGACACATGGGGCTGCCTGGCCTTGGGCTGGCAGGGATGATGTGAACTGTAGCAGGTTCACTGATAAACGTGGCTGAGCTGTCCTGACAGACACAGTGAGTCTACAGAGGCCATGAGAAAAGTATAAAAGCTAAAGCCTGTTACAACTTTCACACTTTTGGAATCAACACTTTCACTGCACTAAGCTAAAAAGCCAAAGGGTATAACTGAATATTGAATTTGTTTCTTGAGACAGTTACTGAGCCCATATCTGTTGACATCACTCCTCAGCACAGGAACTGCAGTGATAGCACCAACTGTCTGAAAGCAGGTGACAGACCTACTGTAGCAATTTCAAGTTCAGTGCCCTAAAATCACAATTCAACATATGCAGCTATAGAGACACTTTGTATACTGTTTTGTAAACCATGACTTCTCATCAAATAATTGTTTAACTTTGCTGACTTTTTATGCTAAAATTTCCTAGACACACACGAAAAGTTAAGCAATAGGTGTTAATTTGCTAATTGAAAATTTTATTTATTTATTTTTTAAATTTTTTTATTTTTTTGGGGGGGTACCACAGATTAAACTCAGGACCTTGCACTTGTGAGGCAGGCAGCAGCACCACTGAGCTAAATCCCTGGCCTGAAAAAGTTATTTTTTAAAGAAAGCAATACTTAAGCAAATTTAAATAAGAGGTTTTTTTCCCCATCAGAATTGTGGAATCAAAGTAAAAATTTTGGAAGAGCATTCTGTTGGAAAGAGACACATCTGATGATACTGTGAGTGTTATGGCACAACTAGTTTAAAAATCCAACAATAGGAAAAAAAAGAAGAAAATCCAACCATGGAGATAAAAGTATTTGTGTTCACAGTGATAACATGGTAAATTCTGATTTAACAAGACACTATAACAAAATAAGATCACTTTGTGTTAGGAAACTTACAAGCAGAAAGGTACTTGGAATGAACTGGGGCAGAGATGTAGTCCTCACCTTCAAACATGCTGTCAACCAGCTGAAAGAAGCACAGCAGCTGAGGTTTACAGAGTATACAGGTAACCACCATGAAACTCCATGGTGAAGCTAATAACACACCCTGGCTCTGGCTCTGGCCGCCCTGGCTTTCTCTTTGCCACATTCACCAGCTGGATGTGACATATGCTCTGCTGTGAGGGAAACACTGGTAAATAGCCCTAGGGTCCCACTGTGTGCTACTCTTATAAAAACAAAATGAAACAAAAAAGCTCTATCATCTGGTTACATTTTGTTCAAAATGAGCAAAAAATCTTTCATCAAAGTATTTCATAGGCAGGAGGAGGATCGCTGTGAGTTCGAGACCAGCCTGGACTACATAGTGAGTTACAGGTCAGTCTCTACTACATAGTGAGACCCTGTCTCAAAAAAAAAAGTATTTCATAATTGTGCAACCAAGAATCTTTAACTTTTGACAACTTTTGCAAATTATAGCTTCTGAGAATAAAACTTGTAAAAAGAGACACAAAAGCAATGGAGGAAATGAACAAGCTAGCATGGTACACAAAATTAATGCGCTGCTTATGTGGTGTGGTGTTGTGTGTGTGTGCTTTCTGGTAATGAGGATGAACCCAGGACTTCACTGAGCAACCAGTTGTTTTTAAATTCTGATAGGGTCTTGAAAAGTTGCTAAATTGCCCAGGAAGGACATAACTTGCAATCTTGCCTCAGCCCCCTAGAGTGCTGGGATTACACGCACATGCCCAGCTGATGCTGAATTCTATGACAGGACTTCCCAAATTGTATGAAAAGTTTAAGAAAGCCATTACTTTTAGTTGGAAAACCTGATGTTCTGTAATGAGATGAATGAGACACGTTCAAAAGAATCACAGAGCCAGGGACTTAGCTCAGTAGCGCTGCACCTGCCTCACAAGCACAAGGTCCTGAGTTCAATCCCTGCTACTGAAAAAAAAATCACAGAGACAGTTTATTTGCCAAGTTTTAGTTTATAAAACGAAAATACCTATTTAAGCTGAATAGAGGCAAACAAGACAGTACCTGTGAAAACAACTGTGCTGAAAGTTACACATTTCAACAGGGGGGAAAAAATCCCAAACCTTAAACATCTCATATTTAGCAGAATTTTCTCTGAACTATTTCCTCAATTAAAAATATGACAGTCATGCCAGAGATCTCAGCTCAAGGGTACTGCAAGGTTCTGAGTTTGATCCCTGGTACCAAAAAAACAAAACAAAACAAAACAAAAAAAAAACAGTCTGAAGGAAAGTCTATCAAAGGTGTCTACCTATAATTTCAAACTTATCAACCATAAAATGTAACTATGAAGAGGATTCCAGAGAATTATACAGTAAGAGCATATTTAAAAAGTGCATTTTCAGGAATAGCAGTGACTTGGTATTAAGAGATATTAAAAAATTAAAATGTGCTGGGCATGGTGGCACACACCTGTAATCTCAGCACTCAGGAGGCTGAAGCAGGATGGCCATGAGTTCAAGGTCCAGCCCCGACTCATAGCAAGACCCTGTCTCAAAAAAAAAAAATTCATAAACAAAAAAGAAACTAAAATGCTACTACATACTAAGAACATCATGTCCAGATAATCAATATTAACTTGTTTTAATATACAGACACTAGCTTTTAGAAATATTTTTGCAAATACTTTTAAAATAGAAACTTTAGAGAACCACTAACATAATAAAATCAGTTTGGTCCCTCATACACAAATATTTCAAAAATGGTTTCATTTTAATTAACCTGAACACCTGTTAAAGCAGATCTTTGATGTATGGCCTCTTGTAATCTCAAAAACAAGTTAAATAATTTAGATTCTAAGGTAGAGTGGACCATATCTCTTTGCAGTCTTTGAGTCAAACCAACTGCCTAAGAATCACTTAAAATATTAAGAGGTTGGGAAGGGAAGTCGTCAATCACAAATAAAACAGCTAGCAACTCTGACCTCTGGGAGAGGCCAGGTGTAGGCAATACATAGCTAAAGGAAGAGCTCCAAATTGCTGCTGGGTCCTTAGAGGAGCCTTCGGTGAAATAAGTTGAGGCACCTTGCAATGGCTGAAACTGAGTAAACTTGGGGAGAATAAACTCATGTCAGTCAAAAAAAAATTAAACAGAGGATCACTAGGGTAATGACTATCTATCTGTCCAACAAAATCTGCAAAGGCTACTTGCCAGTATAAAGCAGCTTGTAGTAGTGTCTGCATTTGAGCCTTATCAACTGGGATAATGATGAAATGAGGATTGGCACCAAATAACTGTCAGAATGATTAGGTCCTAAGTAAACAAAAATATTTTTGCAATTTGATCTAGATATAACTGTAGATTTCACTAACTGGTCAGATAAAAACAACCATTCCATGGGAAAGACCTGTTTCTCATACCAGTCCTATTAAACCTGTAGGTGAATGGGGAGTGTTAAGCATAAACAAATGAACTGGATAGTTAAGAGTTTATATGAAAAACCTGACAGTTATGTATGCTTTGTCCTACTAATTATAACACCTTTTGTGCCTCTGGAGTTAATTTTCGAGGGGAATGAAGATCAGAATCTCCCTGTAATGTTTCATATAAATTCCACAATTGAAAAGTTGCTATCCCAGGGCTGGGGATTTAGCCAGTGATACCATGCCTGCCTCACAAGTACAAGGTCCTGAGTTTGATCCCCAGTACAGCAAAAAAAAAAAAAAAATTTGCTTTCCCTATTCTAGGACTAATCCAATTAATATCACTTAACTTTTCAAAATCATTTGGCATTTTAATTGTATCTTTTGTGACTTAACAGACAGCACTGCTCACAAGGTACCAAGGTAAGTATAAGGCTCAGATAGTGGAATCTTTTCAGGTGCTACGCACAATCTAAAATGCACTAAATCCTTCTTTACAACAACAAAGACCTGTAAAAGTATGTTGTATATTCAGAGATTATTATGTCATTCATATATGTTAAATATACAGTAGGAAATAATTTATGAGTAGCTTGAAGAGCCCCTGCTACAAAAAGATGACACAATGTGGGGCTGTTAGCCATCCCTTGTGGCAACAGTCCACTGAGAGCACTTCAATGGTTCTTTAAAATCCGTATGAGGTACTGAAAAGGCAAATCCAGGTCGGTCACTTGGCCACAAAGGAATGTTAAAGAAGCAATCTTTTAAATCTATAATTGTAAGTGGCCACTTCTGGGGAACTGCACCTGCTCTGGCAAGCCAGGCTGCAGCCCCCACTGAAATGAGGCTTGCATTAACTGCATGTAAGTCCTGAAGCAAACACCATTTGCCTGACTTTTTAGGAATAACAAAGATGGGTGTGTTCCAAGGGCTCATGGATGGTTCTAAATGCCCCTTGTTAAGTTGTTCTAATATAAGTTGCTCTAAAATGGTTAGTTTCTCCTGTGTTAGGGGCCACTGATCAACCCAAATGGG